AATAAGCCTATATCGCTACTGGCAAGTAAGATATCATCAACATATAGTATCAGGAATAGGAATTTACTCCCACTGAACTTGTGATACACACAATCTTCCACTAAGTTCACCTCAAAGCCATAAGAGATAATAACCTGATGGAATTTGTGGTACCATTGACGAGAAGTTTGCTTAAGGCCATAGATGGACTTTTTCAATTTGCAAACCATAGACTTTGAATCTCCCAATACAAAGTTTTCTGGTTGCACCATATAAATTGTCTCATCAATGTTACCATTGAGAAACGTTGTCTTTACGTCCATCTGATGTAGCTCCAAATCCAAATGAGCCACAAGCGCCATTATTGTCCTAAAAGAGTCCTTCGAAGAAACCGGAGAGAAAGTCTCTTTATAGTCTATGCCTTCTTTCTGAGTGAAACCTCTAGCAACTAGACGTGCCTTATATCTTTCGATGCCATTTGAATCCCTTTTGGTTTTAAATATCCATTTACAACCAATGGGTTTCGCACCTTTAGGCAACTCAATAAGATCCCAAACGTCGTTGTCTTTCATAGATTGCATCTCATCTTTCATGGCATCAATCCATTTATGAGCATTAGAGCTTTCTAAGACTTGTTGGAAGTTGATTGGATCATCTTCCTTCAAGCTTAAAATATTTTCATGCTCTTGAAGAAACACAATACAATCATCCAGAATTGCATTTCTCCTTTCCCTAGTGGATCTCCTTAATGGCACTTCTTGAGTTTGTTGAGTTTGTTCTATAGGTGGCATAAGGGGTGATTCATTATTGTCTTGACCCAAAACAATGTCAGGGACCAAAGCCTGTTCCATAACAATGTCATGAACAGGGACCTGATCATTAATTGCTTGTTTCGTAATTGCATCTTGAATGATGACAATATTAGGAAGAGAAATATTATTTTCTTCCTTATCAAAGACAACATTCCTTATTTTATCTTCCCCCCCAAACTCAACATCCTCAAGGAATCTGGCATTTCCCGTCTCCAAAAATGATCTTGTAGTGGGATTATAAAACTTAAAGCCCCGAGAGCGTTCAACATATCCAACAAAATAGCAGCTGATTGTTCTTGAGTCCAACTTTCTTTCATTTGGCCTATAAGGCCTTGCTTCTGCTGGACAACCCCAAATGTGTAAATGCCTTATGCTAGGTTTCTTTCCATTCCATCGCTCATAAGGGGTTTTTGTCACTGCTTTGCTGGGAACCCTGTTAAGGATATAAACTGCAGTCTTTAGTGCTTCTCCCCAAAGTGATTCTGGCAATGAAGAATGACTAAGCATACTCTTCACCATGTCTTTAAGAGTCCGGTTTTTCCTTTCCGCAACACCATTCATGCTAGGTTTACCTGGCATTGTGTATTGTGGGACGATTCCACACTCCTTTAGGAAGATCGCAAAGGGCCCTGGACGTTGTTCACCTGATCCATCAGATCTACCATAGTATTCACCACCACGATCAAATCTAATGGCCTTAATTTTCTTGCCTAACTGAAGTTCAACTTCAGCTTTAAATTCTTTGAACACATCCAATGATTGTGACTTCTCTCTAATCAAATATAGGTATCCAAATCTTGAATAGTCATCTATGAATGTGATAAAGTATTGTTGACCATTCCAAGAGGCTAAAGGAAATGGTCCACAAATATCCGTATGAATCAATTCTAAGACGTCTGAAGCTCTGTTGGAACCTATTTTCCTTATGTTTGTCTGTTTCCCCTTTATGCATTCAATGCACACCTCAAAATCATCCAGATCAAGGGTTTCAAGAATTCCATCAGTCACAAGCCTCTGAATTCTCTGTTTAGAGATATGACCTAAACGCTTGTGCCACAGAACCAGTACCAACAAACTAAAGTGAGAGTCATACCCTTCTTTTCGCGCCATGCCTTGTATTTGGAACACTCTTTCTTCACGTGTCCAGATTTCTTACAAAAGAAGCAGGTGAATTCCTGATCCTGCTTCTTTTGCTTCTTTGGCAAAGCATCTGCATTATCCTTAGCTCTCTTTCTTTTCTTGTCTTAAGAGGTTGATGTCAAGTGAGCACTATCAGTCTTCTCTCGCTGTAACCTCTCTTCCTCTTGCACACAGTGAGAAATGAGCTCATTAAGAGTCCATTTTTCCTTTTGAGTGTTATAACTCACCACAAATTGACCGTATTGTGCAGGAAGAGAAATAATAACTAAGTACATGAGCAACTCAGAGGGCAGCTCTAACTTTAATGCCTTTAGTTTTCCAGCAAGATTAGACATTTCCATAATGTACTCCCTTATGTTTCCTTTTCCTTTATACCTCATGTTTATGAGTTTGGACAAGGTTTGACCAATTTTAGCCTTTTCATTTCGAGCAAAGTATTGCTCGAGTTCCTTAAGAAACAACTTGGCATCAGTAGTCTCAACAATCGAGCCCCTAAACGCCTCCGAAACGGAACGTTTCATGATCATCAGACACATGCGATTTGAGCGTTCCCACTTCTCAATTTTATCCGTGTTTGGATTTTCCTGAGTGGAAGTGGGTTTCTCAGTCCTTAGCGCATTGTCGAGATCCATGCAGCCGAGAACAATTTCCACATTCTCTTTTCACAGCTTGAAATTTGCCTCATTAAGCATTGGAAGCGAATTCATTTAAGCAACATAATTGGCAGCGGTAGTATAAACTATACAGAGAACAAAAAAGATAACATACAAATAATCTGAAGTAAAATGAGTTTATTATAAGATACATAGCACAACATTAATATTTAGTCTGTGGACAAAAATATCAACTTGTAAGTGGTACTCTTAATGTAGTAATCAAACATTGACAATAAGTCCTGTCAAATCATAGCCTTCCTGTGGGCCGACTATGAATTACATGGAGAATTCTTGATAATTGTCACATATTTATTACCACAGGTATGTTTGTTACTTGGCCAAATAATAACCTTCCTATGGGCCGATCACTATTCGCATAAGCAATAAACACACACATGATCACACAACATATGTTATTTGGCCAAACAATAACTTTCCTGTGGGCCGATTAATATTTGCATAAATAAAATATATTTATATGACCAACCTATTTGAAATCAAATTAACCTTTTATAAATTTGGCCACTGTGGCGGCTGACAAATCTATCATATTTAATTTTAAATAGAAACCTTTAGGGATAATAAACCCATTTAAAACCAAAATAACAACAATAAAGAAAATTATTCTTTATCAATCCTCAATGTATATACATACATACTTTATCCTTATACCATTAACAATAAATACCTATTCATTATAAGGCTTAAAAAATGATGCACAAACAACGCACATGTAAGCCTTTTCAAATGAAAGCTTGAAAATGATGCATAATATCCAAAAAAAAATTATATTTAGCTTTTAACAAAGAATATCAAATATAAGGAAAACCCCAAAACCAAAGACCTTAAACATTTGATTTCTTTCAAACCGTAAGTCCAAAATTTTCTAAGAGAATTCATTGTTTATTCAAAAAATTCAAACAACAGAACCTCATCGATTATAAAGCCAAAATTCTTCCAAACATTTCATCTATTCACAGATTCAAAATTTAAATAACAAACCCTTATTAAACTGTGAATCCTAGTTTTTTCTAAAAAATGTAGCTTTTGTTCCAAAACCAAAAAATCACCGTTAGGGAACAAAAATAACACTACATAGCTAATACAAAATACATAAGATGGAACTCACGTTCAAAAAATAATAAACTTTATGCCAAAAGACAATAAAACAAAACTTTTCACGATTAATCATATATAAAAATCACAAAACTTAATTCCCTCGTGATTCAATATGATTATGGCTCTGATACCAATTGTAGGAATTTTTTTAATTCCTCTAAACCTTATGGTGATAACTATCACCTACAAGCCAAGATCCATCATACCAAATCATAAAGAAAAATAAGAACAACATAAAGGTGGAGGCATACCTATCTCCATTGCAGCGAAATAACTTTGATCTTGTCTCTTAGGGTTTGTAGTCTTCCTCAGTCAAATCACCCTAAAACCGAATTCCTTAGTGTGCCGTCTCTCTCTTGATTGGGAAGAGAAACTAGGGTTGTTTATTTGACGTATTGGGGACCATAACCCTTTATAATGTTTTTATCTTTATTGTTGGGCCAATAAGCTCCCATTATACCTAGTTGGCCCAACACCGGTATCCACTCATTCAACCCATACTCACTTAGAAATCTATTTGGGAATATTTAACTCATCACTTTAATTCACCCAGTATATATAAATAGCACAATATAATTATTAATATAATATGTGACCCACAATAATTATTAGAAAATATAATTTCCTAACACATGGGATGTCCTGTAACAATAGCAAGTAAAAATATATTATTGATAAAACTTCAGTTTTTTTTTTTAAATATTATAGCCATTCGCTTAAGTGGTTTTGAAAATTTTCATTTGTTTTTTCTTTAATGAACATTGTACCCATTTAGTATTGGGGAAATCTTCCGAAATTTTTTTTCTCATCTAAAAAAAAATTATAAGTAGTATATAGTTATAATATTAAATTTGTTTTAGTTTTTTTTTTTATCTCAGACATTATTGATTGACGTGACGGAAAGAGAAAAAATATTTTTACCATTATAATTATATATTATCTGTAATATATAATTATTTTTTTTGCATAAGATAATTTTTTTCAACAACATGAGAAAAATAGAACCCTTATTATTGTTCTTAATGCGTTAAATATTTAAATGATATTGTTTGACTTTTAAAAAAAAGTAAAATAAGGAAAATTTTGAAAAATAAAAACGCAAAGCCAAAACGGCGGTAATAACAGTGAAAGAAAATTTCCCCACAAGAGGGCGCCAAAAAATGAGCGCGCCAGAATATTCAAAAAATAAATAAATAAAAATGCTCAAATCCATCATCTTCTGTTCCCGCCATTTTCTATTTTCCGATTCCTTCAAAACCCAAAGCCAAAGTCTCGTGTTGCAGGAAAAACCAAAATGGACATTTCGGACTTAGCCAAGAAGCTTGCATTATCAGATTCCAAACTCCTCATCCGAAAAGCCTCCGAACTCCGCCGTCTCTGCGACGTCCAGTTCGATTCTTCCATCATCGGAATCGTAACATCCCTTCCCTTCCATTACATTCCGTTTCACTCCATTCCTTCGTTTTCTGTTATAACAAACTTTCTGTTTTTTTTTTTTTTTTTTCCTTGGCAGGGCGAGGTGGCCAAAGCTCTGATCTGTTTGGAAATCGTGGCCAACAGATTCGGCGTTCTCTTTGATCGATCCTCTGCGGTGAGGCTCAGTGGCATGTCCGAAAGGGCTTACATCAGATCCTACAATTCCCTCCACAATGGCCTCGGCGTCAAGTCCGTTTTCCCTAACCCTTCCGTTTCGTTCAACTTTCGTTTTTTCTTTTCCCGTTCCGTTAACCGATTGTTCCGTCTTGTAGGATGAAGCTCGATGTGAGAGAGTTAGCCATTCAGTTCGGTTGCGTTCGTATTGTTCCTTTTGTTCGCGACGGCATAAAGCTGTAAGTTCCAATTAGTAACCGCCACGTGTTTGATAAAATGTTTCTTAGAGCACATTGCTGAGTTGCCTCTGCTTTTGTGTGCAGTTATAAGGATCGGTTTCTTTCATCTTTAACAGCATCTCGTCGTGCGAGTGCTGACTTTACTCGTCCTGTGTTCACCGCTGTTGCTTTTTATTTATGTGCGAAGAAACACAAGCTCAAAGTAGATAAGCTTAAGTTAATTGAAGTCTGTGGTACATCTGAATCTGAGTTTTCTAGTGTGAGTGTTATATTGTATATAACTAATGTCTAATGAATTATGCTTTGTTTCTTTGTTTTTTTATGGGAACAGTGTTGATGCTTTTAAATGGATTGTGAATGGCTATTGCAGGTTTCTACTAGTATGAAGGATTTATGTCATGATGTTTTTGGGGTTGATAAGGAAAAGAAAGATCCCAGGGAAATAAAGTCAAATCGAGGTATATCCCATCCCATTTCATTCGTTGTTGATCATTCTATGTCAACTGCGAAGCATGTATTTCTTAAAGTGGTCTATTTGGAGAAAAAAAAATTAGATATCTATTTTTGCATTAAGCGGTTTCTTTTCTGCTTCTCTCTCTCTGTTTGTGCAGATCTGCTTGATGTGCTGCCAAGTAAAAGGAAACTCGATGATGGTGGTTATTTGTCTGATGATGGGCCAGAGGTACTACTGGTTAACCTCTCTTTACAACTCACATGAATACATTATTTCTTTTGGTGTCAATTTGTTCTCTTAAATTATGGCTAGAAACTTAGGGATGCGCTTTATGTGCAATTTTTCATATAAACTATGTCTACTGTACTGTAATGTTGGGTGAAGTAATAGAAAGTTTGAAAATGTTAAAATTAAATTGATTTGTTTGTTTATCTTTCTGCTTCAGTAGTCTACCCATTGAACTTACATTCCCTAAAATAGATGCAAAATCCTATTTTGGATAGCTTTATTGGATTGATAACTGATTGTCAAGGTCCTTTTGTAATCCAACATATATTGGGGACTAGTTTATTTTAGTTCTTCATTGACTTGCTTGGAATATTGGATGCATAGTGAACATAAGACTAACTGGGCAATTAAACAGGGTATGTCTGACTTAGAGGATAGAGCTGAGTTACTTAAATATCAAAAAAAGCCAATGATGATTGGCACAATTGGTTGAATCTTCTGTCTATGCTAGTTGTGGTTTGGATTTGATTCTCAACTTTTCCTCTTTGATAAGCGATATATAATTCCATTTTAAATTCTTAATCAGGTTAGTGGTCTTCCCATCCCTTGCATGAGGTGTGCCTCCCCTAATTTAAACTCTTGAATACAAAAAAAATAAAAATAAAAAATTCAGATTCGGCCAGTGAGTAGTGAAAGGTTGCTCTTTAGTGAACATTAAGTCATGGGTTTGAGTCTTGAAAATGGTTTCATTGCAAAAACATAAGATTTTGTAGAGTCTACCTTCATTCCTATTCACATAAGATGGTGAGCCTTTGTCGGTTGGGATTTGCCCTTGCAGAACGGAAAAATAATCATATTATCTCATAATTATGGGTTTAAATTTGTATACCAGAAAGTGCAGTTGAATTCTTTCTGTTGTGTTCCATTAATAAATTCCCCACAATCTAGTCTCCACCTTGTATTTTGTTTAAAAAATGATAGCGAGTCACGGTTAAATGCAAGACCATCATGCCCTGACTTTTCATCCCTCTATTACTCTATTTATTCTCATCATCATGTTCTGTTATGTATTTGCTTTAGTATTTTGCATGAACATCTGCTATAAAGTGGCTGTTCCAATTTGTATGAATATTTAAGTCTTCGCTTATATGTTGCTATAATTTTATCTCTGGAATTCAACTAACATTAGTAGTATATCCAGCTTTCAAGTTATAAAAAACGTAAACATAAGGAAAACCGTGATTATGAGAAGTGGAAATCTTCTGTGCTTGCGTCCAATAACCAAAAGAAGCCAGAAGGTATGTATTGAGACAGTTCTTGTATTTTCTGCTTATTCCACAACTGAGCCAAAGACAGTTGACCTTTTGCTTTTACTTTCTCTAGCACCTTGCAAGCGAACCAAGCAGACTCGTCTCAACTTTCTCAAGAAAGCTTCCGAGACCCAGAACCAGAAGGTGGAGGCTACGTGAGACTGAGATGGCATTCCGTCGTGTTGTGGTGAAAGATGATTTTGGAGGTTCGCCACAGTATGAAAACGATGAAGAAATATGGCATCAACTGGATATTTTAACAGAATTGCTCTGGATGATTTATCTTTTGTTGAATTACTGAATATAGCAAGAACTATGTACATACATGCGTGATAATATTATTAAAATAGCTGGAAACGCGATTACCGAAGACGTTTTATGCCAAATGATTCTATACAAAAAAAAAAAAAAAAAATGAAGTTGGATATGTATAATGGAGTCTTTATATTTTAGTTCATAAAAAATAAATAATTACGAATGACAATAATATTTCACATACACTCGGTACTTCGGTAGCTTATTGGGTTAGCAAAAAAAGTTCGAAATTGGAAGTAGGCCAACCTTTGACAGACTTTGACGGAGTTTGGGGGATTTGACTTGTTTTATCATCAGACGAAAAAAAAAAAAAAACTACCTGCGTCTACAATTTTAAACATTGGTAAAACTTACGTCTTGTTTAAGACTATCAGATTGGAAATAAATTATCTGTGTTAAAAAAAATATAATATAATTACGTGGAAAGATTAAATCTTACAAAATTAAATTAACAATTATGATTTTAGAATTATCTGTTTTAAAAAACAAATTCTTTATTTATTTATCATTATTAATTCAATTCCATATAATTATAATTTTTCACATAATCATGTCATATTTCTAATAACACTCGTAATTAAAACCTACAAATCTATATTATTATAAACCGATTGTCCTTTCAGATGTTTATTTTTTGCATTATATAAGGGCGATTCATGACTTAATTGATGTAGTTATTAAAAATTTAATGAAGATAAAGGCACGATGTCAAAGGCGGTTGACGACATAATTTAGATAAAAGCACGATATCAAGCGAGATTCATGCCTTAATTGATTTATTATTATTATTATTATTATTTTGTAAACTTAACTGATTTAGTTATAACTATGACAGTTTGGACAAAATTGATTTAGCCTCCCTTTTCACTCCCATTTATGCTAATCCTTATTCTGATAGAAGAGTTGTGGACAACTCTCCCTTTTTTGAATCAAAACTCCTTTGAATTTTGGCTTATGGCTAGGGATTTCATTATATTCTCTCACCAGATGAAAAACAAGGATGAGCCCCCTTTGAATCCCCTCCTGTATAGTCCATTCATAACTATGATGGATGTGCGTCATATGCTTGATTTAGGGGCTTGTGGTAATTTCTTAATGTAGAGAGGACCTAAGATTTAATATGGATGAGTGTCAAATGAATGATTATTATTTAATACAAATTTTATTTTTCTCAATTTAATCACTTTCACCAACAAATGCCTTGGTAGATAACTGTGTTTCTTAAGAATATTGGCAAGAGTTCGATTTCTTACCGTGTGTATGAAAAATATTTTGTTGAAAAATATTTATCCACTTTATGTGATCTTCCGCGTCTAATCGATTAGACTACCTTGGAAAAAAAAAAAACCACTTTCTCCACTATCACTCACACCTTCTTTTCCTCTTGCCATTATTAATAAAAGATAATAAACTTAATTAGTGATAAATATAACCTTTTCAAAAATAAAAATATAAATTTTTAGAGAACATATTAAGAAATGAAGTTAACATTAACTAGGTAGAAATTGTCAAAGTATAAGTCAAAATTTGTTAAAGTATTTGATCAAACCAGTCCAATATGAATTGGGCTAAATCATACACGGTCGATAGATGAAGACTTTGGGTTGTCTACTGTATTTCATGGGCTTGAGACGTTCACTACGTAGGAGAAAGTTGAAGAATACTTTTGGCACGATGGGAAATGAGGGGTACCTGCAAAGACACTCCGACGCTCAAGTCAGTATTAATGATAGGTTTATGTTATATTTAGTGGGGATCAGATGATCATACCTGAGTTTGTACACTTCATATTTATAGCAAGCTTTATGCCGCCTTTGGTAGGCGGCATGCCTTCTTATTGGTTGTTATGGGCTGCAGACTTGTTTGTCTCAGCTGATGCCTCTCTGTCTATGAGTCTATATATTTGCTTGTCTTCTTAAAGTGGTGGCAAGATGGAGCTGTCTTACGCGCGGTGGGTCTTAGCCTGTTACAGAGTTTTTCCTTAGGGGGCGTTCAATAGAGGAGATTATTTTTACCAAATAAATGCAATTACCAGTAATATGGTAGGAAAATGAGTTTGGTAGGAAAGTTACAAAAAAGTTGTTTGGTTGGCAAAAATTTTACCAGGAAAATTGGGTTAAATTTTGTGAGTCTTTGTTTGGTTGAAGGTGAAATAATGATGGGTAAATGTGTTGAAATATCGAAAATAACCCTTAATTTTACCAGAGATGTAGACATGTGTACTTAGAAGAGGGTAATATGGTAACGCTAGTTTTCTAGGAATACCAGATACGAAGTTTTGACATCTGGTTCTGGCGAACGAATAATCATTGAGTCCTCCTCTTTCCAGACAACACATACAAAGAGACCCGCCAACAGAAAACATAATTAGTGAACTTATGAAAGATGTTTATATTGAGTTCTTCTCTTTTCTATCTCCAATCTATCTATTATATACTTTCTTTAATCTATTTTCTTTAGTGATTCACTAGAACAATTATGATCTGGAAGTCAATCCGGGGCAAGTGTTCGGATCTATTATGACATAACATTGAGGCGCTCAATGGACCTTTTTTTATCTTCGAAAACGTTTTCTTGGCTTTGTGTATTGAAGTGAAATAATTTTTTTTGTACAATACGGTGTATTGCTTTCCATTTTGCATATGCTTGTCAAAGGCTGGGGAAAAGAGAAGCATGGCTAAATTTTTTTATTCCTTTTACCAAACAAAACAATCATGAAATGCCAATTCAAGATGGATGGGGAACCAAACGAAAAATGTAACGTCTGACCGCTTCAAGAATCAATGACTATCCCCACATACTAACACGAGACTTTTCAGTGTGCTTTTTTCTCACTCGCACACTTCTCGGGAAAAGATAAGCATGGCTAAATTTTTTTATTCCTTCTACCAAACAAAGCAATCATGAAATGCCAATTCAAGATGGATGGGGAACCAAATGAAAAATATAACGTCTAGCCGCTTCAAGAATCAATGACTATCCCCACATACTAACACGAGACTTTTCAATGTGCTTTTTCCTCACTCGCACACTTCCCGGGAAAACTTCTCAGGAGGTCACCCATCCTAGAATTGCTCCAAGTCAAACACGCTTAACTATGGAGTTCTTCCGTTCCGAGCTACCGAAAAGCAGATGTATCTTGTTAGTATAGGTAGTACCAATTAATTCTTATAAGCTATCCCAAACTGTGCAGTCTCATACCTGCACAGTCTTTGAAATCCCTCTCTTTCCAGTGTCGATTCGATTCATTCCTGTAATCCCCCGCTGGAAGACTGTTAGGAGTCGCTCCTTGTCCGTGCCTCTTTGCACTGGCGATCACGCCTAGCCCCATCCCTCGTCAACGCTCAGGATGTTACATGCCCACCAGCTTTCGCTTGGTTCGTCCTCGAACCACAACGTACTGGAAGAGAGGTCATACTCTGATAACGCCGAGTTTAAAATAATCAATGTGATTATAACTGCGCTTAATATCGTAAAGCAATGTTAACAAACTGGTTCTAGAACGGGATGTTACAAAAAACCTGAATCAAACGCCCCCTTAGCTTTTAAATTATATAAGGTGATTTAGCATAATCTACGCAATACTTGCATCTCGCATTATGAGGCTATTGTGCTGTTTGGGCCTTTTTTGGGCCTCGATCTTCGTGAGCCTATGTAATTATTCATATCAGTATTAAAATTTGAATTCCAAAATATTAAATCGTCCTTTTAAAAAAAAATATATTTATCAAAATTTGGAAAGATTGCTAGGTTGAAATTGGAGGAAAATAGGAAACATCGGCATGTTTCGCTTTCAACGTTAAGCGAATAACTATAATTAACTGACTTTTGTGTCAACGCAAACGGCACGTCCACAGATTGCATTCAAAACAGGTTGCCCAGTTTGCCCGGTCAAACTCGGCGTCGTTTCAACTTTCGATATTTCCATAAGCTCCATGGTTCCGATCCTCTGCAGTCGCTACCACCATTCCATACGTCCCAACCAATCAGAGCCGTTTCCTTTTATTCCAACCAAACAGCCAGTGGCTCTATCTTCTGACACGTACGAGGTTCCACGATAACCCCATACGCCGTCGCACTCACGATCATATGATACTCTTCCTAAGAGTCTCGAACCTGCACGCAATTTTCAACATTCTCCTTCTCTCTTTCGAACCTTCCTTCTGCGTGGAACCCTAACTATGATTACGTACCTTCCCATTATTTAATTGGTTCGTTCAATCTTATTTTTGGGGTGCCGGCTGAAACATTCAATCTCAATCATTTGGGGTTGGAGGGAATTAGATTCAGTTTTTTATTTGCCTTAAAAGGGTTAGGGTTTCCTCTTGTGTTATCCGTTGTTCGGTTTCTGGGTTCTCTGAAATTCATGCAAATTTTTGGTTCTGTGGATGGTTGCTAAATCAAATCACACAAAAAATCTGATTTTTCCTTTTGGGGTGGGGGAAATAATGGATTTGGGGATTTCTGATGAGATGTTAGGAACTTTTGCCCCAATAATAGTTTACTGGATTTATTCTGGGATTTATGTTGTTTTGGGACCTTTTTGTAAGAATTATCGGTTACACTCAAAGCAGGAGGAGGATGAAAAGAATTTGGTATCTAAGGGTGCGGTGGTTAGAGGAGTTATCGTTCAACAGATAGTTCAGGCTGTGGTTGCAATTCTCTTGTTTGCGGTAAGTTTTTGAGGTGAAAAGTTTCTATGCTTTCTAGCTTTTCTTTATTTATGGTGATTCCTCACATGAAGATACAATAATTCAGTCAATTTTATATCGTCAAAACAGCTTTTCAATTTTTTGTTTTTAGAGGTTTAATTGCCCAACACGCTTTCTAATTGACTCCTTATATTTTTGAGGAAACGTAGACAGGAAACTAATGTTTTCAATATCTTGTTTGAGTAATTCAATACGTGTACATGATTGAATTGTTTTTTAGCCTATATGTTTATACGGGAGAGTTGTAGATGCAGATACTTTACTGGGTTATATTATAGTCACTCCTATGTGGTAGCAAATATGTTATGAAACCAAAATAAGTTTCTTCCCCTCAAAAAGGAAAAGAATAGCACTGAGCACCCGTGCAGAAAGTTGGAGTTTTGATGTCCTCCGCTTCCCCTCACACTAAAGAGGACTTTTGGACTTTGATTTTATCTTTATATTTATTTCAGGTTCTCTGTTAAAAATAGGATTCTGTTCCCCTGATAAAAAAATGTGATCCTAATAGTTTATTTGAGGGGCTTACTTGTTGTTGACGTGGTGTATTATGACTTTCGAAACCAATGAACTCACCTAACTCTTTACTGAATGGGGAAACAAAAACAAATGAAAGAACAAAAATCCAGTTTCAATGATATCGTGAAACTGTTTGCTTTATAAATCTTAATTTGTTATTTTTGAATAGTTTGTTACGGAAACAAAGGAAGTAGACTATTTAAACAGAAATAAGAATATTGCATAATTACAATTGACTTTTCTTTTTCTTTTTCTTTTTTTCTGGATTGAATAAGAAACTCATTAAGATAGAGTAAAAATTACGAAAGAAAATGGAGGATGCGGAATCCTCCATGTCATAAGAGAGGAGGCTCAATGTGAGCTTCATATGCCTGTATAGTTAGCTTTGCTTACCTTATATTGGACTCTTCACAACTTACTATTACCCTCTGCAGTATTAATGATGTGCCAGTTTTAGATTAAAATCATATATATATATATATATATGCTCTTTTTTATATCATGTAGTTCACAGTTCTTAACATGTACTAAACAAGAAGTTATGGATTTTGCCATCTTAGTTTTTTTAATAAGGGAAGACAAAAAAATGGGGAGTTATTCCAAGAGATGAGGAATTTAAGTAAAATATCATGGCTTCTGTTGTTTCCATTGCCAATTTTATAAGAAGCGCTTGGGCTATGTAAATGTGGAAAGTTGAAGCATATTGTTGCTTGTGTTGCTGCGAGTTGTCCTTCCTTTATAAAAATTAGAAAAAAATAAAAGTTATGGATTGTTACCGACATTGACTTCTCTGAATCAATTTAGAGGTTTGCATTTACTAACTACAGGGTGTTGTGTAGCTAAATCTTTTTAAAAAATTTATTTCATTGATCTACTTGTACTTTTTGTGTTTAATATGTTGAATTTTGGTAAGGTTGGAGCTAGATAACTAAATTGTAATTGGGTCTTTGTTATTATGTAGGTGACAGGAAGTGATAACCAAAATACTACCAGTCAGAATGCTTCTCTCCTTGTTTTAGCAAGGCAATTTGTTACTGCTATGCTGGTAATGGACACATATCAATACTTTTTGCACAGATACATGCATCACAACAAGTTCCTGTACAAACATCTCCACTCTCAACATCACAGACTCATCGCACCCTATTCGTTTGGAGCTCTGTACAATCACCCTGTGGAGGGGCTTCTTCAAGACACCGTGGGCGGGGCTTTATCTTTCCTCATCTCTGGTATGAGTCCTCGAACCTCCATCTTCTTCTTCTCCTTCGCCACCATCAAAACTGTGGATGATCACTGTGGATTATGGCTCCCTGGGAACCTTTTACAAATACTTTTCAAAAACAACTCTGCCTACCATGATGTACATCATCAGCTCTATGGCAACAAGTACAACTTCTCACAGCCATTCTTTGTTATGTGGGATCGAATCTTGGGTACCTACATGCCATACAAATTGGAGGAGAGGGCAGATGGGGGTCTTGAAACTAGACCTTGCAAAGATTCCAAGGATAATTAACCTTTTTGCTTGATGAGCATTCTCTATCTGTTCTAGTATTGTTTTTCCTCGTTATGAGCAGCACCTCCTGAGTGGTCATGTCTGTATATACATATGATGTGTCTTATTCTATATTTTTCTTTACCTTCTGTCCATACTAGATAGACTTAATAAGGAAATTGAGAAGCTACCTATTATGGTGTGATTTTTTCCCTTGTTGTTGCTGGCTGCTATAGGCATACTTGTAATCCCTAGTGTCTTGTTCAACTTGCTTTGGCATGCAATCTTTGGTATCCTAATACTTAAGTTGTTTTGCCTACTTTGGTTATATTTTCTAGAGAGGTCAATTTATGGCCAAACTTCGGTTATTATATGTTTGCTGTATCTGTAAATGGATCTGTATCTAATCATGTACTGCATGGAGCCCATAACTATTTATGATTGAATGAGATGGGTGTATGGTGTATGTATCCATTAACCATTTGTATTCTGGTGTATTTTCTTCATTGTTTGTGGGGAAGATGTGTATTCTGATGAGGAAAAATGCCAAAATAGCCAAGGCTTCTCTTTTCTGAAGTAATTGAGCTTATCTGATACTATAGGCACAAGTTTTTAGAAAATTGTAGCATGTATCCTTTCTTCCTTTTCACTGAGATTTAAATGGAGGCACTTCTTTGAAAACGAGATTCAGAAGAGTTTCTTCTCATATCCATAGAGGAACATCTAAGTTAAATTTTTTAGAACTTTTAGAAAAGCCATTATAGTAAATATGGATAATTAAAAAGAAGAGAGATTAATTGAAGACTTGTTTGTATGAGGATACCAACATGAATACAAGTTACATTATTATTATTTTATATATATATTTTTGGATACATTGGTGGAATTAAATATATAACCTAATACAAATTATCTAAATCTCTCAGATCAATTCTTGTGCCTATTATTTTATATTTCAATTGAGTCATATGACCAAATATTGGTAATTAATTACTGAAAGGCATTGCCGTAATGGTAATTTGGTATTATAGCAATAAGGTAGGGTACTGAGTAAACCTTCCTTTAAAGAATTGCTCTCCAAAGAAAGTTTCAAAATTCTTCATCGTTTCTTAGCTATATTGACTGTTGTACCCTTTTCCTCAAACTTGTTTATCTTATTTGTGGTGGTAATTTTGTAATTATAATCGCTTGCATCTTTTCAACAAAAATTGAATGGAAAAAGATTATGGTTGATTGGAAAGTCAAGCAAACTTTCCAAATTTGTCTACTGAATTTTTCTATTATTATAAAATAATTGAAAGAAAATTGTCGTTGTCTTCTGTAGTTATTTTATTTCTACAATCTTTTTTGGGATTAATGTTTATTTTTTAAAAGGATATAGAGTTGTGTTATTTTAATTAAAATTATTGTGTTTTATGGTAAGAGAAACAGTTGTACAATAGAAATCATGACGGAAAAAAGTAAGAGATTTTTTTAATTTAAATATTAAATAAAAAATAATAATATTAACTAAAATGACTGTCGTTTAAAAGGATATATATTTTTCCCATCTTTTTAACGAAATAAGGATAAACCTCAGTCTTATTCAAGTTTTATAAGAAAAGTTTATGCTTAATTAATCAAAATCTAATGGAACATTTTGCAATTATAAACTTTGAAAAATAGTGATATGCATAATGCCCTATGCAAACAGATTTTTGAGAAGCCGTATGACCGTGTGACGGTGTGAGTATCATTCGAACGTTATTGTGGAGAGATCCGTCATTTTTTGTTTTAAATGACTTTTTGTTAAGTGTTTTTTTTTTTATATTGTTTATTTAATTCTTTTTTATCAATTTTTGCTTACTTTTTATTTAATTTATCAATGTCGATCCCAACTAATTTGGGATGGATTTATTATAGCATCTCAAGTCAAGTCCTTAAAAAGGAGTGCTAGTTTTTTTTATCCTTTCTCTGCCATTATTGATGTAAGAGGCGAACATGTTTTGCCATCCATCTAAATCAACAATCTAAAACCCTTAAATGTGTAGAAAAGAATATGTGGTTAGAATTTTAAATCAGGAACGTTAAGTCCTATTCATCTCCTAACTAAGTACAAATATACCTTATTTTATTTTCTTGGCTCATGACGTAGATATTAGACACTAGAATGTGCAATTTTCAAGTTTAATAGTTTAGTCTTTAGAGGCTCTTTAAAGCTCCACGTAAAGTCTCTCTTTAGTGGTCCATGACATGGTCACAAAGGTCATCTTTCTTTCTTTTTTTTTCTTTTTTTTGGTGAGCAAGGTCATCTTTAGTCAGCAATCAAAAATAATGCATAGACATTAAAAGTGTGACAACTGCTTAATATTCTTATTGGTAGAATGGACCATTAATCTCTTAATTTGGACCACATAAAAGGTTTCTCAACCAATAAAGTTCACAGGATGACATTATATTTTGTATCATATCTTCTCTTTTTGCGGCATTAATATCTTATCTGCTTTTGCTTTCTCAAAGATAAATAGCTTCTTGACCACAGTATCACATTATTTTATCACATGCATGCCTTAATCAGATACTATATATGCATGGATTTGAGACATGAATTGAACTTCAATTTAACTGAATCAAGCATTGATTCAAATTATAGGCTCTATTTTCAGTTAACCAGAATCAAATAGCATGGTACTATATAGCATGTTAAAATTAATTTTAGTCTCTCTATGTCGATTAAATCTGATAGATTTCTGGACTATTGGCCATGACACGAGAAAGATGATTAACTCTATGGACAACCTTATTCATGAGGTAGTTATGGAATTAAATGCATCTGGCTTCATTCTTTGGTGCTCATATTTAGGTGTCGCTTTTGTTAGTTGAATGTTGGATTTCTTGTCATAAACGATTGATATCCATGTTATCACATGATGGGATGTTTTCCTGGATCCAATTTATTCTTCTTTTCACTTCCTTGTGAAAACCCTTAATCTTTTCTTGCTTTTATATGGGTTCATGATAAAGGTGGTATTGTAGTTATATTGTTGTTTTGTTAGATGAATGTTGCTGTAAAGACATGCTATCCTTGAGGAGACAGATGTCTGATCAAAGAGCTTTCCATTAGTTATACCTTTTATCTGTCTTAAGGATATAAGCTCTTATTATCATCACATGATTAAAATGTTTTGGCATGAATTTTTCAATTTTTGTAGAAGAAAAGGAGAAATTACTAATACATAATTTTCTATCATTACTCCTAATTGTATTTGAAGGATGATTAGCTTTATAATCACCTTTTTATCTTTGTCGGTTGGATGCAGTAAAAGCCAGCAACACAGGAAAAAGGTACATTAGGATCAGATCCAACAATGCATAAACAAGCATGCTCTTGATGAGAGATAGCATTGGAATAGGTACTTTCTAATGCCTTGACAATACGAGGTCACCTTTCCCATCCCATCTATCTTTATATGAGACCAAATGCATGAATACAAAGCATCCATTCTCATCAAGTTTTTTCTACCAGAAACAGAAGAAACTGAATGGAATAATATATCAGAGCAAACAGAAGAATATATGAAGATCTAAGAGAAAGACACAAGACAATTCCCATTTGAGGTGGGGATTTGATGCCCCTAAGATGCTTTATTTGCCTTCCGGACTCTGGACTAAAAGCTTATATACTTCTGCTATCATTTTTTTGATGTTGGAAAACAAGAGCCAATAAAATAAAAACTCTATCATACTAAATCAAGATACATAATTGAACATATTCCAAATACAGAAAAAGATATACATGCATTCAAGCTACATCTAAATGTACAGGAGTTGTGAAGAATTTGGTGAGTGTGAGCGCTGAAGTGGGGGTGTGGCATAAGCATGTTGGCCATGTCTTGCACCAAAATTTCCCTCCTTTGTCTCTGAATGAAACCTTGTCACATGAGGGAAGGTGTCTGACTTGTGACGAATTTGTGGGTTAGATCTTGGTTTCTCATGTGTTGTGAAGGCATCCACAGCAACTCCCACAGCTTTCTGGCTCTTGCAACCCAACAGTATGCTAGGACGCCTCCTATGTATCTCTTTGCTGACTTTTGGTTTAGCATTTGAGGAAGTTAAGGATGTCCTTATTGGACTCCTTATGGTTGCTACTGGCCTTTGATCTTCATAATCTGACATTGCTGAGTACTCTACAGCACTAGCAGTGACCACACTCCATTCTATGCTTGCCTCACTTGGTGCATAACAAGTTGTGGGGCTGGCACAGCCAGAAGCAACATTGGATGTTGTTCTAGCAAGGAAAGGATTGGATTTTCCTGTGAGGCTTTCAATCTCAAATAAGTCTGAACTTGCATCACTCCCATCATCATTGAAGTTTCCACCAGAATTTGCAGATAAATCAATTTCTTCCATTTTAGGGGCAGCAGCATCCCAAGAGGGCATAATCAACCTTTTATCAAAGCTCAAGGACTTGCTCCTGCCATCCATTATTGGTGAGCCAAACACTTCCAATGATTTCCTTGGGTTCTCTACTTCTTCAAGTTGCATTTTGACCATTTGATTTCCTGATCTAGAATTCAGAGTTGAGAATGATAAATCGTTTTCTCTGTTCAATTCCATATCTAATTTCTCTGGCTTTTGAAAGTTGACATCTTTGTTGATCAGGAGTTCTGCATGAGGCTTATCTATTTTGATTGAATGATTAGCATCTAGATCAGCATTGAAGAGCTTTTTTGGGGATTTTTTTCCATGAACTACACCATAAGTAGAAGTTTTGTTGAAACTGATTTCTTCTGCATGGTCGCAAATATCAACAGAATTCTTATCAGAACAATAGCATTTGCAACCAAGACCGGCTAGAAAACTCTTTCTCTGTACCTTGTCTTTCCTGTTCCTTGAAGAATTCCTCATAACACTTTGTAAGAGTGCACTTTGGCTGTTCCAACTTGATTCAGAGCGAACACTTGGAGTTCCATACTGAACTTTATACCTTCTAGTTTCTGCTGTTGTTTGTTCTTTCTGGTACTGGTTCTTATTAGCATCAACATTAGCAACTCTTTGGCTCTCCATCTCCCCTCCATTGAAGTACTTTTCAGCCTCAAAAACTCCAATTTCTCCATCTTCTTCCTTCTTTGCTCCCTGGTGAAGAGGATCCTTTTTGTTTCTGATAAAGGGGTTTAAATTTTGGCTTGACTCAGCTAAGGTATCTTCATTGCTATTCAAGTATGAAGAGAAGGAAGCATCACGGAGGTGGTGGTTGTTATTCTGAGCGTTGAAAGTTTGCAACTGATGGAGGCTGCTGTTGGCAGTGGTTGTTAGGACAACCATGTTAAAGGAATATTGGGGGAAGTTTAAGTACTCACAGAAAATAGACCCAACAGAATCTGTTTGCACATAGGCTTACAGAAGACCAGGCAGAAGAGGAATAAAACAAGAAAGAAAGTGTTAAAGACAAAGAATAGAAGTAAAAGAATTACTATTATGAGAATTTTTTTAGTAAGAAAGGACCAGAAGAGTAAGGAAAGGTGAAGAAGGAGCAAGCTTGAAAGAAAACTTGATTATGTAATGGCAAGGCTAAAGCTAGATAGAGGGAAAGGAAATGGATGCAAGAGAGAATTCAAAATGATTGGGTGAATGGGTGAATGGCATATTTATGAGCAGCTAGCTCTATAAGGCTTACGGAATATGCAAAATGTCAAGTAGGTAGGTCCATGTGCTTGTAGCCTAATTGACACTTCATCCTTAGTTTTCACGCGGAAATTTCTTGAAGTCAGATTGATAACAATATATATTAATAATCTGCTTAATAACATACATTAGCCTAATTGCCTATGTTCCTTATATTGGAAACCCCATTGATTTGTCCCCTTCCAGGAGAAAGGGTGACAACTATAAGAGATAGAAACATGTTCTTGTCCACTTGGATTGGATAATCTGTAGTCCCATCATTTCAAAATTATTGGCTTTTCCCATTTCACTATAGGATTTATCCTAGTGAATATTCTCCATTCTAGTTCAATACACCTTTAAAAGATAAAAAAATTAAATAATCAAAAGTACTAGTGAGATTTAGTTGTGACAGGCACTGAAGAGAAGACACAAAGGAACTAAATGGTGCTTGAGTGCAGTTAATACAATTTACAGCTGTTTGAGATAGAACGGTGCTTTTGCACACTGATCCCTTGGTTACATTATGGAAAATGAACAAGGGTTCATGCTTGGAATGCCAACACTAGAAAAACTATTCCAACCAACCAGCAAAAACTTGTCTGTTTGATCCAGAGATATGCTGTCCACACAAAATTGACAGTAATAACAAAGCAAGAATTTTTGTTACCAGTGGCATTAATCAGCCTATCATATCAACCATATAAACCAACCAGACATAAAATATTGACAAGATTTCATAATGGTTAGTATACACCACACTCTAAGCAAAAATCAAATAAAGGATATATAATAAATAGCTTCAGCGGACCCCAGTTACAGTGGCTTTAATATAGACAAGGGAGGTGGCCCTTCAGTTAAGGAAAATTCTGGATATGACAGATAATACTGTTAAATTTGAACTGATTAATTGCTGGCATTTAATCAAGTTGTATAATTGTTCAACAATCCATTACGCAAGTGACATTTTTCATTTTGTATGGTAAGGATATTCTCGGGTTAGATTTTTTGTCAATTGAGATTAAGTCCCTTATCAGATAATCTCAAAAGAGGCACCTCCCACATTGGTAATGTTGATTTAGAAAAACTAATTAATTGCTTAGAGGAGACGTCTAAGTGTCTAACATCTTAGCTTAACTAATGTTTAGGAATTTCCTTTCAATAAATTCAAACCAACCTTCCTAGCTAGCCTTATTGTGTAGGGTCCCCTCAGGACTAGCCTGGCTTGTCTTTGGATTCTCAGCAGTGTACCTTAAACAGAATGGACAGGTGAGCCGTACTGTCAGCTGAGGTAAATATTCTGTGGCAGCGCATCCTGGGAAGCTTCAGCTCGTGACCTTCAATTAGAAGCAAATATGGGTTTTGTTATGTTTCAGGATAGCCTAGTCTTTTCTTGTGGTTGTGGCTTGTAGCAGGCTCAGATCCACGGTTGAGTTTGCAATTTAGCACATTATTTTGTTCTTCATAACTATTATGGTAACATAATTTACATTTCACAGGCACATAATTTCCTTTGCACATCCACTTTTGTGGTGTTTTGACTATATTCATTTCATTGCCATGCTAAGAAAAGAACAAAAAAGACTAGCTCACCAAGAAAGCTGAGTGGAGCCCATCTATATATATATATATATATAGGGTAAAGTGTGTGTCATTTTAAAGGATGTAAAGTTGTGTCATTTTAAGAGAGAGAAAGAGATAGATAAAGGAGGAGAGAGAGTTGACAAAAAAAAAGGTGTGGGTCTCACATCTTTGTGAGAGTGAAAGGATATAAGTTGTGTCATTTAAAAGGATAAACATTTTTCCCATATATATATATATATATATATATATATATTGAAAAATTGAGCCTCCAGTAACTGGATATAAGGTTTTGTCCAGTCACCACATTATAATTACGTATTCCCGAAAATACATAGTTATAATGTTAAAGTTGTATTTTTTCTCTCTTTATTCATAAACTTGTCTGCTGACGTGGAAAGTGAAAAAAAAAATATAACTTTAATATTGTAAAGAACTAATTTAACTCAAAAGCTTAAGCTGTTGGGTGAGGCTACCTTAATGGTTTTATATATCTCTAACACCTCACACAAGAGAGCTCATTGGGCTTGAGAGTTGGATGATGCATCAAACCCAACCTACTTGTGCTAAGAAATTCCACAAGAGAAAGTGGGAGACGATGAGGATCGAACCCGTGACACCGAAGCTCTAATATCATGTAAAGAACTAATTCACCCCAAAAGCTTAAGATGTTGGATGAGACTACCTTAATGGTTTTATATATCTCTAACAAATATTATAATTATGTATTCCCGGAAATACATTGTTATAATGCGATGACTGAACAAAACCTTACGTTCCGATAGACTATATATATATATATATATATATATATATATATATATATATATATATATATATATATATATAGGTAGGATCCTTTGACACCGGTGACAAATTTGAAGTTTGACACCTCATCTCGTTAGATAAAAAAAGATCAATGGTGTCACATGCTCATAAATCAGAGTCGTTGATCTTTTTTGATCTAACAGCTCTCAGATGAAGTGTCAAACTTCAAATTTGACACCAGTGTCAAAGGATCCTGCCTCATATATATATATATATATATATATATATATGGCAGGCATTCATCTTTTTAGTACTAAGCTAGTCTCAATCACCTTCAATCAAATTATAGGTATCATCAACAATGATTGTAGAAGTATCAATCTAAACGAATTTTAGAGGCTTACAGGTGAATTGACCAACAAATTCATTTCTTCTTAGTTTTGCACTAGATGCTTGATGCTATGTTAATGTCTATTGCTATTTTTCGTAAAAAAAAAAATAGTTCGGTTTTAACTTTCTGACACAATTGAAGCTGACACTGAACAATTTAATTTAGTCTTGCAACATTTCTTAGACGATGAAAACTTAGGAATAGCTGAATCAGGGAACAAACAATTTAAATCAACTTGCAAGCATACGAGGTAATTTTAGCTATGAAGATAGAACCATACGCGATAGTTGGTTACAAAATGTAGACAAACTGTAACTAGTACAATGGACCAATAGAGAGGCTGCAACTTAAAATTCAGATAAATAAGAGAAACTATTAAAAACAAAAAAGCCAGTGTTTGCTTGACTTTTGAATGTAACATCGTATAACAAGATAATTAAATTATGAGAAAAAAAAATGCCTAATACCATAAAACCCGAGCGAGGTGATAATTGTGCATGACTCAAGTAACAGACCTCCCTGTGCCAGTGTCGTGATTAGTTAAGCCAAAATCATGACAAAACCATATGAACTCTGTAAGGATCATATACAGAAAGGTACTGGTAGCCTAAGGCCAAGCCTTTCAATTTGTCTTCAGTGATTATTGTGTTGATGTGGCATTTGCACCAGCAACCCAATACTGCTTCACAGCAATTAGTATCTTCTCAGGAACAAGTGGACCATCTTCATGGTCAACCATTTTAGTATTCCATCTCATTCCCTCAACTGTTTTCTTTACCTTAATTAAGACATCAACTTCATCTCGGAATATAACAGCACCTTCTGGTCGCAAAATCCGGTCCATCTCCAGAAGAATATCTTCTATATTACATCTGCATTGAATTATCAAAAACAAGCTTTTGAGGCACAAGAACGAAAATTGACTGCTGAGTGAACAAAGACAGCCATAAAAGCTTTTATAGCAATCTCACTATAAGGGGTAACCACTGGATGAATCCCCAAGGAGCAGCATAAAAAGACCAACAAGTCACAGAACTGTGAAGCCAGGGAATCATGACAACATATAATTATAATATGCTTCTAAATGCTTGTTACTTGCAAGGATCAACAATTTTATATGAGATCACAGCCTAAAAAATACACATAATAAAGCAGAGTTCAAAATGTATTTAACCATACAGGATGTACAAGCCCACATTATAGACTCAACAAACGTCCCCAACTAACATGATCTCTGCTGATTCCATTGCAACTCCGAGCCAAGTTGTTTAAGCTTGTTGTTGGGTAAGGCTCATACTTCGCATTCAGATGAAGACTCTTGTTCGCGAGATCAGCAAAAAGCCAACTGGGGTCAACTAGGGTTTTCTAAATCCTATTTATATTCCCTTGTAAATCGACTGACTTGTAACGAGTGACGGTGAGATGAATATAGTACAGACAAGCTGGACGTAGTCTACATTGGGTAAACCAAGGTAAACCTCTGTGTGAATTTCTCTTCCCTTTCTCTTTTTTGTTTTCTTGATTTGTGTGATTTGTGTGTGTCGATTTCCAATATTCGTTACGCAAAAAACATTTTCATTCCAGCTAAACTATAATTGCATGCTAAGCAAGCCCAAAAATATTGATTAGGGATGGATACTGAATTCAAATTTAAAAATAACAGGAAGAATAATTGGATACACATTTAATCAAAGGAACACTTACTTGTCCTTGTACAGACTAAAGAGACCATGGCTATGAATGAGGTCGTATGTCCTTGGATACGTGGAGAAGGCTTCGCACCTGAATCATAAAGGCACACTTAAATCAACAACAAAAAATGTGAGGAAGAAGTAAAGCTGATTACAAAAAATTGTACAGCCAGTCACAATTCAATACAAGATAACATAATAATTGGCAGACTACATGTCTATATCATATCATACTTTTGGAAAATTGAAAACTTTATTAGAATAACATTAAAAGATTAGTACAGTCATGACCAGTAAGATCAAGACATGTCGTGAATAAATAGGAGGAAGTAGTTAGGAAACTATACCAATCATGAAAGATGCCAATAAGTCCTCGCTCATATATGACACCCAACGTATATTTTTCAGCTATAGTAGGCACAACATTCATGACCCATAACTTAGGAGATTGAATAGCTGCAGCAAAACTACCCAATCCAGCATTCATATCCATAATGTTGCGATACCTTCCAGAATCCAGAAGTCTATTAATTTTCTTATAAGCATTTACATGCTTTTTCCACTTATTGTTATCATCCTGGTATGTCTCAGCCGAAATTCCAGGAACAGAGCCACTAGCAATTCTAGGAGGGATGGCATATAGCCTCTGTGGAAATGGCTCAAGATCACCAGAAACTTTAGGACTGGGAGTAATACAGGCCTCCATTTTCTTATACCTGTAGCCACAAAACAAAGCCATTCCAAGTCAGTACACCGTTTACTTCTGAAAACAAGTTAAGTGTTGCTCAAATTTTCAAAATATATAAAATCCAAACAAACACATCCTTGTGTGAAATTAAAGACAAGGATGAATTTCTCAATACTTCATATGATATAGTAAACAATATAAATTGGAATTGTCAATCTTTTTCATAATTAAGCATGCAAACATCACCGATGTAACAGCGGAAATTACACACTTCGCTTCTGCTGGGAGAGGAGGGAAAATTGCTCCTCCAGAACCATATGGGAATAGGCACTTGATTAATGATTTTCTTTTTAATAGAATAACCAAATTTTCCTCTTCATTTTCTTCATTTTTCTCCACTACTTTTCTCTTAGCTTTATGCACACACATATGTTTATGTTTATGGTTAATAGAAGAAATAAAAGGAATATCAATAATGCAATGTTAAATATATAAATTGTTTAACACAGGATGAAGGGTCATACCAGACATCATCAGCATCCGTTGATTCACAGAATTTTACACTAGAATCTTCTTGTTTGCTACGACATGATTCTGAGTCTACAGTTTTTTGCCAAATGGCAATTTCATACTTTTCAGACTTCTTCTCCCAGCAAAGGAGCTTAGCAATATCTTCAATCTTTCTTTGTTCTTCCTCGAGTTCCTCCTTAGGTCTCTGCCAGGCTTTGTAATTAACCTTCCAATTGATTGGAGGACCCGAAAGCACCCAATAACCACCAGGTCTAAGAACTCGGTCAACTTCCATCATGTACATTCCAGCTGCAAATGAACCCAAAATGTACTTTTAAACAGCTACTATCACAAGTATTATGATATAAGATGCCAAATCAAACAGAACAAGGATGAACAATTAATCATTGTGCTTTCTTATTTACAACAAGTACTTCATAGAAAAGATGACAGTTTCAATGTATATTTCTCACCATTTGATCCCCAAGGAATCAAGCAGCGAGAACAATGTGCCATGTCAAAGGCTGCAGATGGATAAGGCAATTTTATGGTTCCCAGAACACCAATGACAGCAGGTACACCACGCTCCAGAGCAAACTGTACTTGTGCTTCATGAGAGTCCCTTGGTGCAAATGACATAGCAATAACATTTCTGCTCCAAAGATATGCACCCCAACTGGCCACCTGAGCAAAACAACCTTACATTAAGGATACAAAGCTAAAACAAACGAATTATGCTTCTAATCAAATTAGCATGCACAAGAATAACAAAAGGAGTTTGATATAAGCCCTAAGGAATTTGTAATGACTAACATACCCCACAACCAGTGTCCAGTGCTGTCCTAACTGTCCCATCCTTTATAGGTATAACAGAAGAGATTTGATCAATATATTTATCTGCACCTTGAGGAAATTGGGTTCCACCACCAGGGAATCTAAACACATTGCCCTCATATTGGATCCAGTTCTGAATAGCCTTCTCAACTGTAAGGCTCTTGTAGGGTGCGTTTGCATATGGAACATAATCACGGCTCTTTGGCCATGGAAATGGAGTTACATACCCATTGGGCGCTGGGATCAAACAGTGTAACTTCTCTTCCTCAGGGGGACAGTGCCTTTCTCGATAATTCATGTTTTCTCTAGGAAAGGTCATGGCACGCCGTTGATCTTGGCAGGGAGTGTAATCAGTATAACGAGCATTGCAAGGTTCAAATACCTTAGGTTTTGAATCAGCTTCATCAATTTTGCTAACTTCTCCACCATGGTGAGAGTCAAAACTTAAATTTGGAACTACATTACAGTCCACCCCTTTCTTGGTAATCTCCAATGCTATGCTATCTCCCTTTCCAAAACCACTTCTCTGCCATGCTCCTAATATATAGAAAAAACAGCACAAACCAACTACTATAAAGATCTGCACAGAGCTTCTAGTCCTACCATCAGCTGAACTTGGTTTTGCCATGTAGAACCTGAAAAAGATCAGATCTTATTCAGAACCACATAAATGATAAGATTAACAAATTCCCAAAGCTAAGTACAATATCATCCACTGAAGATCCAGAACAAAAATCTTAAGTCAGTTCAAGATAATTGCTTCCAATGAATAAATTAACAACTTGCAACTTCCAATGAACGAAATTAAGCTCCAAGGAGTCATGTTAGTTTACTATCAACCACCGTCATGAAACAATTATTAGTCTGTAACAATAGTCTAAAGGAGAAAAAGAATCATGCAAAGCAAGCTTCAGATCTGCTCAACAGCGTGGAACTTAAGCTCCATTGGTAGCACAGGTTTCACTTGGCGAGCAACAAGGAAAGATTATGCATTTATGTACTACCCAACAACAACACAAACGTTAAGAGACAAAACAAAACACAAACACGAAAGACACCAATCAACTAACCAAGTACTAGGAGAATCATACGGGATCTAGCTTTAGGTAAATGCAATGCAAGAGGCACACGCAAACGAATTCAGAGTTATAAATGAAGAAGACCAACGAGACCTTACTAAATATAATTCACTTGGGGTACAAAATGGACCTCAAAAAAATCATCTTTGGAAGTACCCAGAAGGAAAAATGATAAAAAAAAAAAAAAGCAAGAAAATGGGAAGAAGAAGAGAAAAACAAAAGGGTAATTCAAATGAGGGAGATCTCTTACCGATCATATAGAGCTGGGGGAAGCAATGGGTGGGAAGATCTGATCCGAGGAGAAACGAGATAAGAGAGAGAGAGAGAGAGAGAGAGAGAGAGAGAGAAATCTGAAGAGGTTTTTATAAATTTTCTAGGAAACCAAACAATAATGTTGCTTTGATGTATGTTGCAGTAAGAGAAGCGAGACGTGTCAATAAAGAGGTCACTCTATAAACCCTATGAGTTTGTATCAACAGCATCAATCATGTTATGTTCACATGAACAAGAGCAACAGAATCAGCAGAAAAGTGGAAAGAAAATAAAAGGACAAAAAAAATGAGTAAAATGGAAAATGATTGAATAGTATTTACGCGTCTGCTGAGAAATTGGTGGGTGTTACGCAGTTTCTGGTTTTTGTTTTACAGTGAGAGATAAATTAAATTATGTGGTGACTAGTTTATTCATTTGGAAATAGACAAACCGACATGTATCTCCTCCACACACACACATGTTCCTCTCTTTTTAAGAATATTTAATTTAATTTGAAATATATTAATATCTCAATTCCAGTCAAGGTTTAAATTTTCATAAAATTTTCTAAGAGGATTAATTCTACTTTATTTTTTTTATAAAATTTATATGAATTAATTAAACAAAATGATATAAGAAAAATACAAGCACAAGCCTTCAATCGAATTCAGTAATGTAAAAATATAATGTATTTCGTGAATACTAAAGTAAAGCGTAAAGATTAAGGCACGATCAAAGGTAAAACCTATATGAGAAGTTATATATTACTTACTTGTGACTTGATTAACAGTCGCAATGAGTTTATGAAAAAGAGACAGTGAGGATCATGGGTCACCGGCGTGTATAGTCGAAGGAGGGATACGCGTCTACAATAACAACTAAAAAACAAGGAGTTCAAAGGGCTTAACTCTTTATATATCAGTGAGTATGGGTGTAAGTGGGTCGGGCTACTCTGTAAGGATTTATGACCTAATTTATATTAGGTTAAATTTAACTTATTATATATAGTTAATTAGAACATGTTCGAATTTTTTAAAAAATTTATTTAAAAAGCATGTCATAGTTTTTTTTTACATGTCAAACTTATAAACCTATGACCTATATCATATTATTTATTTTAAATTAAATTAAATTAAATAATATTATTTATAGTTGTACAAAATGATGATCTGTATCAATCTCTATAGTAACATCAGAATCAACATTTAAGGCTGGAGGAAGAGTTATTGATGCTTATCGTCAAATTTTAATATATGGTGAAAATTGACTACATAATAAGTATGACTTGAAAAAAAAAAAAAAAGGTATAAAAAGATTTTTTTTTTAATCTTTTTTTCTATTCTTTGATTTTGTTTTTTATTTTCTACATTTATAAATTGTTTGTCAAATTATGTAACCTTGGAATTCTATTTGCAAGAGAGAGAATATGATGAGAAATTTTTGGCTACTACAAGCATCATGATGCATTTGTTGAATTCAAGCAGTTATTTTAATTTACATAGTATGGATTGATTTGTTGGATCTGGTGAAATATATGTTATTTAGTTTGAGCATTTTGCTTCTGAAAATGACTTAAATGCAGATAGTGATAAGTTGTTGTGATTCATGGTTTTGTTTGAACGTTAAAATTATGATTTCTGTTTTAACAACGGAATTTGAGTATTTTGTGAAGTTGATATGTTCTGCTAAAATTAACAGGCTAACGGGTCGGGTCAGACTAGGCTAACAATTAGACTCGTATTATGCTATCGGACTAGGTCAAATTGATTTTTTTTTATATAAACTTGGACTTTTTGGGACAAAATTCGGCTCAACCCAGCTCACTTTTACTCTACCTATAAGTGAAGAGTTTTAATAAGAGTCAAATTGTAGTGGATAGGATAAGCAGTCTTATCATATATCCCTTAAGCATAATCTTATCTGTTATCTCTTATCTCTTTAGCTTTGTCAAAAGTGTATATCATTTTAAAGGATGTAAAGTTGTGTCATTTTAAGAGAGAGAAAGAGATAGATAAAGATAGAGAGAGTTGACAAAAAAAGTAAAGGGGTGGGTCCTACCTTTTTGTGAGAGTGAAATGATATAAGTTGTGTCATTTAAAAGGATAAACATTTTTTCCTATTTTGAATTGTTGTTTTTAAAAGCTATAGAACCATAAAATAATTTGTTTGAGCCATTTTTGTGGCAATAATCTTTGCCAAAATAAGTCATGAGATCTAATATTTTATTCGATCTATAACTTAATTAAGCATTTTAATTTTAATCAAATCCTAAATTTAAAAGAACTCATTCAATTATTTTATTTTATTTTTTATTTTCTTCATATGAAAGTAAAATTTTAAGATTAATTCCAATTTTTCTAGAATTACCTTTAATTAAAATTTTCCCTTTGTGTCATAAGAATTATGGTATCGTACATATCTTCAAGGTTAATACAGATGGGATGCGTGCAGTAATCCTAGTCCAACTGCTTGTGGGGGTGTCATTTGTGATGACTAATGAGTGTAAGTAGTTTGGTGGCTTTGCGTATAAATTAGGGAAGTATTCTTCATTCAAAGCAGAATTATGGAGTGTCTTTAAGGGGTTGACGATGGCTTGAAATGTTGGATAATCTTAACATCATTATTGAAAGTGATTCAACAAGTGTGATCATTGTGCTCACAAGAAATGGTGCAGCAGTCCTTGAGAATCATTTAATTTCTCGCATTCCGACATGGATTGATAAAAACTGGCCAGTGATTTTCAGGTATACTCTGAGGGAAGGTAACTCGTGTGCAGACTGGTTGGCGAATTCCATAGAATAAAACTCATTTTGGGTCCCTAACAAAAAAAATGATCCCCACTTTCGTCCCTTACAAAAAAATTATCCATATTATTCCTTTTTTAGGGACTAAATTGGGTCTTCATTGAATTTCTGAGGGATCGCATTTTCAAAGAACTGAAATTATAGAGGGACCAAAAGTTGACTTGTTTTGTAAGAGACGAAAGTGAATACCATATTTTTTTGTTAGGGACCCAAATGAGACATTACTCAATTTTATATTAGACTATGAGGGGTAGAAACACTATCTTGTTTGGTAGGAACCTCCTTTTGACATTAAAATATTATTTCTTGCTGATCTGTAAGCTGTTGGGAAACGTCGTGCTTTGAGTTGCAATAGTTAGTTTTTTTTGTGTTCTTTATTTATTTTGTGGCTATTAAAAAGAAATTTCCCTAGACTTCCACATTTTTTTCGCTAGAGAATTATGAATACTAATTTTAATTCTTTGACAAATTTTTTAAATAATAAGAATTTATTTATTTATAAATTTATAATAGTTTTATTTTTGAATAAGTTACTCATATTTACACGTAATTTTTTAATTATGTGATATGGATTTTATATATAGATAGATTCATAAATTCACTTTAAATAGTGAATATTACTAGTTAACAAGTTAGTTTTAAATAATGAATTTTAATGTAATAGCTAGTTAGTTATTATAAACTACAATTACTTTCACTAAATAATAGTTATTCTTTTTTCAGTGTATGAAAGAATCAGTAATTTCTATTAATGTTACTATTATAAAAAAACTAATTTTAAAATTAGATATACGTTAGAATAAATTAAAACACTAGAGATGTACTTTAAAAAATAAAGAAATGCCGACCCCGCATTGCCGTTAATGCGGTGAGATGGGAGCGTGATTGGCGGTGACGATAAGTGTTCCACGCGCTAATAAAAGTCATTTTAATCTTATATCTGTTCATATAAATTAAATTTTAAAAATAATTTTTTTAGTGATCATCATGATATATTAACGAATATGTAGACTTGTGGGATTACTAAGGGGGCATTTGGTTGATGATAAATTTTTTGAATACTAGGGAAATGTAATTGATAGGAAAATGGTTGAAAAATGAGTTTGGTAGGGAAATGTAAAAAAAATTATTTGGTAGGCCAAAATAATACTAGGAAAATTGAGTGAAATTCCTGAATTTGTGTTTGGTTGAAAATAAAATATTGATGGAAAAATTTATTAAAATTACAAAATAACCATTTTAGAAAGGGGAAGGATATACTTACCACCAAAAAAGTTTACCACCTTTACAACCAACCTAATCACCGTTGATTTTCGTCAATCTAACGGTTATCATTTATTGGAAATTATTAGATCACATTTATTAATTAATTATTATTTCCAATAAATGATAACCGTTAGATTGACAGAAATCAACGGTGATCAGATTGGTTGTAAAGGTTGTAAACTTTTTTGGTGGTAAGTATATCCTGCCCTTTTTAGAAATAACCCTTTATGGGATTGGTTTTAATGTTATCAAATACAGAATAATATCATCTAATATGATATTATACAAAACACAGTATAATATTAAAATTTCATTAAAACTTATAATATCAAACGTTATCTTTTAATTAATATGAAGAGGTTTAATTTTTATTTTTATTTTTCAGTTTACATGTAATAATACAATTGCATGGTGCACAGGAAAAGTCATAGGGAAGCGAACAGGGAAACAGACCCCAGTGACCCCTCTTTCAAAACTGTAATAAAAAAAAATCTTCACTCTTCTATGTTTTTCTTTCTTCTGCTTCGAAAACCGTAAACTTCAAGTGGTTGCTACGGTTACCAACAATGGGGGGAAGAGGAAGAAGAGCGAGGGTTCAGGAAGCGATGATGTTGAAGAAGGTTCGATGAAGAAAACAATAACGAAGAAAAAGAACTAGGAAGAGTTGCTTCCTTCGATGATAAAAAACAAGGAGAATATATCAGAGGTTCATGCCAAAGCCAAGCGTCAGAAGAAGCTCGAGGGGTAATATAGTCACCGATTATACCACTTTTTGAACTTCTCCAGATTTTCAGACAAATACCACCTTTCAGGAAGCAATCCTCAACAGTACTTTTCAGACAAATCACTTGCAATTGTCGATAGATATGCAACAAGGAAATATGGGTAAAATTTATGAAAAGTGTGAACCAAACGTGGAGTAATGAAAATGCAAAAAATCACTTCCCCAGGAAACTTCAACAAGCTCCTGAAACAAACACCCCCTAAGGGTTTTATAATTCCAAGGAAATTTTTTTACACACAATTCCATTTTCGTTCATGAATTCTACATATAATTTTTTTCAATATATGAGTTCCACATGACCTTTTATTTTTATGACATAAGAATTCTCTTCTCATATAAAATAAAAATTATAAAATCCTTATTTTAATTTAGATTTACAGTTACCGGAAATTGAGTAAGTAAAAAGGAAATA